GTTTAGATTTGATTTTAGTGCCGAATAAAATCTTCATTTGTTGTAATTCGTTCCTTCCCTCCACCAAAACATATCAGTTTTCGTTCACTTGTATAAAATGTGGTGGTGTTTCGTTCTCTGAGCTGGATGGTGTTTTGGTTGTGGAGCTTTCATTGTTCTTCTGAACAACATCATCAGCATAAAACTTCAGATAGCAGAAGTGAAGCATTCGAATTTCTCCTCGTTTGACCTGTAGCTTGTTCTACTAACCTCCATCTTGATTGGTTGTTGTTGACCTTAAACCTTTTGTTGTTTGCACATTTGTTTTGATTGTATCCCCTTTTTGTTCTGTTTCTTGATCTTGTATAAAATGTGTATATGTAGATACTATTAACTGATTTATTTCTCTTTATTCAAATTAGTGGGTCATGTGATCTTGAAACACAAATGTATGGAGACTAAAATCATCATTGACTTTCCATTTAAAATCACTTGATAGTCAGTAGTATTTTATTAATTTTGAGCAGTTTTCCATGTTATGTCATGCGATATCAAATAAGTGTTTGAATAATACTGTGTATACATCAAGACTTGAAATTTTCTAGCTTCTTCAAGTACTTATGTTCTTATACCATTGATTTATCAGTAATAAACGAACAACGTCATGTTTGTTTAATACTTTCGGAGTTGATTGGATTACGTTTAACAAGTTGCAATGTGACCACTAGTCTAAGTGACTAGATAATGACTACACGAGGTTGAGATGTGGTTGGAGATAGCTGACAGGAAATTGTGGCGGTAAATAAATCTCCAAAATAAACAGTTCTGTAACTCTTCGTCAACAATGCTGACCTGATTAGTCTTGGTATAAATAATCTAGCTGAAATCTGTTGGTTATGTGTCTACACCAGATCACCATTGGATATGCCGTGCTACGTATGTCTTCACACCACCTAGTCAGCTTAAATCATATGCTTCTCAAAATCCTAATTATCTACATACTATATACCTTTGATCTCCTTCATTTTTGACATCTGTTTTGACTAAGTTTTGGATAATCGAATAGAAAGGTGTGTTAAGGAAAAGAACCTTGTCAAACCCTTAATATCTGTGACACCTTCATGGAGCTTGGTTTTGCTCTATTTGATAATTTAATCCGTATGTTGTTGTTCCCTTAATCTTGAGGGAACTAGTGCTGTCTGAAAGATTCGATTATATGTCACTCGATTTCACTATTTGAAATATTCTTGTCTTAAAAATTATTTAACAGACAGGAGAGTAATTTCCACAAATAAAAATAGACAATATCTTTTCTTCTTCTTAATAAAAATAACACAGTATCGATAATGAATACATGCTGGTTTAGACATGCCAATCGATTATTGTCTTAAACATGGGTAAAATAAACGATTATTATTTTTTCTTTCTACAATCCAATATATTTTCTTATTATTCGACAGGTGAAGTTTTATGTGTGGTTATGGCAAGAGAAAAAAAAATGAACAAATGTTTTATTGTATCGATCACATTAATAGAAGGTATATTTCTTTGAATTTCTGTACAGATTATTATTTACTTTGTCTATTAAAATATCTTTTTCAAAAACAAATAATAATAAAAATCGTCATTTTTTTTTTTTTGGTGACAAGACATTTTGAAATCGAAACGATTAACATAAACCTCAGTATTGATTGACCAACCCAATTAATTCAGTTGAATAGGAAAGTTTTATGAACTTGTGAACACAACGAACGAATGTGTTGCCCTATTTAACTCAGTTGTAATAATTTACCAATGGGACAGAAGCATGCTGATTAGTGGATTTGACTTCCAACTATTAGATGGAAAATCTAAGTCAGGTTTCATTCATTACGGGTTTGTGAATAAGGGCTAATGTCATTAGTCTTCACAACTAAAGTGTAACTGTACTAATTTGTACTAGGCAAACAAGTCAAGTCTTGTTGAAAAATGTTTGATTTTCTCGTTGATTGTGGTGGAACTTTCGATCGGCTTAGTTGTCCATGATCTTAACAAGACAATAATAATAATAAGAAAAAATCCTGTTTAAAATGTCAAAATCACTAATGTTAACGACCTTCTATCATGTAATTTCTTGATCATATGGACAGTTTCCAGTGATTGTGGTCTTTAAGGCAAATAAATGAAGATCAGGTAGGCAACAATATGAATGAAAAAGTTGAGCTCTTACTAACGAGCCTTAATTAACATACAATAAGCAGGTCATCATTAATATATGGTCTTTTATGTCAGATAAAATATTAGTGGAGTCATCAATGTTGCATTATCAAAGTTAACATTCGAAAATTCTTTAGAAAGCTGCTATTTTTATGGACAAATAAATTTTCATTACAACCAAACTAGGTATTAAATGGTACGTTATAATCTTGTAGGATCCAAACTGAGGTTTGGACTGTGGAATAACTGTCTAGGTAGTTTAGATACATGCCTTGCCCAGTTGAAAAAATCGCGGTTCTAATATTCATCATAAATATAAATATACATTATTACCTAAACAAATATTACCACTCAGTCATTCCACCAACAATTGTTCAATTAATCAAATCAGCAGCAACAAATAAATGTTATTCTATCCCTTCTGGATAGATCAGATTCCTTTGAAAAATAATATTTGGTTCCTTTATAACACAGACTGCTTTTTATTCTGGAAAGGTGCTTTAATTCACAATCGAAATGCACAATTCCAATCAACGCAAGCGACACAATCAGAAGAGGCTGTCGCCATGACCAAGTATCAGCTAAAACAACATAAATGCAGTTCAGAAAGAAACATAGAAACTCAGTGAAGGCACAAGAAATAGAAACTATAATAAAATACAAATATTATCATCTCAAAATGGAATCGAACAGACTGACAAAATGTATAACTGAAAGAACCAATAAGGACAAATTACAAATTTATACATGGAGGGATTTTCACAAGCAAAGCCCTTCAAAATGGATCTTAAAATCTCAACCAAAGTTGGAATAAACTATGGTCGATTCTGTTTTTGTATTGGCCCGAATGTTGATAAGCTCTAGATATATGCATTGGACAAGATCTACAATTAAAACCAGAAAACATATATAGTCTGTTGATTAAACATGAATGGCTACTGAACACAATAAAGGACTAACGAAATGGTTATATCTTTTGTTGAGAAACAGAAGTTTGTTTGATTGAAAAATCTACTAAATAAGTAGAATGGGGTAAATTAAACAAACTGCTTTCTTTACACATCATTATAGTGTTTTAACAGTTCAGTAACTAACTGACATACTAAAAGATAAATGATCTAACATATTTGTATCGTTATTATCAACAAACAACAAGGTAAAAGCGATTGGAAGAGTATAACTAATCACATTAATGCTCATGATCACTTTGAAGATGGAATTTTGCTAATGTTACTGAACTACGATGGAAGTAATAAATGTGATAGGTAGTAAGTACTCTATTTGTCATGTCAGTTATGGACCATCTTGGATCCACATAATTTTATTGATAAACATGGGAAAAGCAAAGAAAAAACTGTCTAAAATAACCTATAGCGAACAAAAAAAGTGTATCTTTATTGAGATTAGATTTAAACGTGGACGATGTTTTATAGCAAAGATAAAAGAAATAGTGACAACCACACCTACCCTAAATCTATAATCAGTGGTCGATTCGTACCCCTTTACTACAACCAATAACTGTGTATATATAAATTTACAAATATCTGCTAAGGCATTTATACTGAAAGAACAAAAGTTAGGGGTTACAGCTGACTCCATGAACATATTCCCAAATTTCTTAGGTTACTTGGATTTTAGGTTTTTGAGCAGTGCTATTTATTTCAAAACATCTTTTTGATACGCGACATCAGATTGGTTCGCTGAAATATTCGCGGAAGCGATGAGTAAACTGGATTTATGTATCCAAATAGAAAGAATGATAACATTTCTTTTCTTTTTTCTATCATATTGACATTTAAATCACTTTGATCTTGTTATTTTTGGTACCTTGTTCTTTTACTTGACTGCATTTATTTTCACTGCTTACCAATACCTAAGTTGATTTTTTTTTTATTGACACTAACCTTAGCTCATGTTATTTTTAATTATGATTAATTTATGTCAATTTACTTCATGATATAATCTGTATGATCATTTGTGATTGTGTTTGATGCTCTAGAACCGTCTGTTAACTATCATATTTCATCACAACACCTTTTTATATTACTTCAATTTCATAAAATATACCTAGTTAAAAGAAATTATTCGTCCTAAGTAGAATTCGAAAGTTTTCTTTTACTAGTGTATTGTTAACTGACCATACTACTACTACTACTACTACTACTACTACGACTACTACTACTACTACTACTACTACTACTACTACGACTACTACTACTACTACTACTACTACTACTACGACTACTACTACTACTACTACTACTACTACTACTACTACGACTACTACTACTACTACTACTACTACTACTACTACTACCAGTACTTACTACTTGGTCAAGATGTTTGATAAGACGCTGCAATAAATAACAATGAACTACATTGATAAATGATCCTTGAAAATAAAAGCACTACTGAAACCGAAAGATAATGTATCAGTAGGAATAGTAATTACTCAACAGAAATTCTTTACTAATAATTCGTATTATTTTTCAATATAGACAGGTGATAGAATTTGTAAATGATCAATGATTTGCATATAAATGTTCTTGCTTCAAATTATTACAGTAACAAGTGAAAATGTAATCAAACTTGATTGGATTGTGCAAATTTGTTCAAGGTCACATGTATGATTCTAAACGTATGGAACAGGGAAATTTTGTTGCATCTCTATGACATCTGTGTATCAATAACCTTGAAATGCTTTCAAGGTTATTAGGGATTTTTTATCGTTTTTTCCTAGAAAGGAAAATAATGTCCAGATTACAGAAGTATTAAGAGGAAAATTTTTCTTAATCAGAAAAATGGTTAATTTTCATCCAGTTGTATTCACTTTTCAATTGATGAATTAACTTCAGTCGATTTCTATTCTATCTTCCTTCAATATTTTAATGTTCATGAGAAATTGAAGATTTTCTCATTAGTTAGCTCATTGAATCCAACTTTCTTGTGCAAACATTCGAATATCTTTTCTGTAAGTTTCGATTTTTTTTACATTTGTTACTGAATTATTCAATGTGTAATATTAAAACATTTTAATTATTGAATATTTACTGATTTGGAAAAAATTGTGGACATCTAATTTCTAAAAGAAGCTATCACCTATCTAACTGGATCAAGAGAAAGGCATTTGTTGTTCACCGTAGAGATTGAATATGTCTGAATAAAAAAAATTCTGAATATTAATTTTTAATCCAGTTTCGATCATGTCACATGTCCAAGTCGTAGAATCAAAACACCTGAATTCGTGATTTCAATGATTCAACACCTGAACATTTTTAAAATGATAAATTTGTTGTGAAATTTTCCTTGGTTACTACCCACTGACTTTATCAGTGATGATTGGCGTTAGACAAAAAAGGCTTTTAGCATTTTTGTTTAGAATACAAACTATTTGTCAAATTTAAATAATCATTAGATTTAGTTAAAACATTTAAAAACTGCCAAACTAAATATTGGACAATTGTTTTACTGATTAAATAATGGTTTCATTAATCAAAATTCAATTTTTTGAACATAATGAACAACACATGTAATAGCAAAAAATTTCAATTTGAAACTATAAATAAATATTCATTTTGACAGAATAGACGACTATAAAGACTTATTGAATTTTTACATTTAGACAAATTGTTGTAAATTATATTAACAAGTTATAAAGAAAAGCATTCTAGTGAAAATATAACTAACAGTATTATATTTGATCTATGCAGTAAGATAGATTGTCCCCATTTCATAGAAAACTTTAATGTTGTATGAGTATTTGAACCACTTATACTTTGGAAGCAGTAACTAGCAAACAACAAGAGTTTATCTATTCCTCGTTGACAGTTCCAATATTTGCAGACACATTCTATCATTTGATTTCGTATTATCTTGAAAAAAATGATGAGAGAGACTAAAACTCTAATAAATTAATGTATACTGACCTCGGAAAAACTATTTATTGGTAGCAATTCTGTAAATGTGGATTTGTGGAGATGTTAGAATTTTCACAGATTAAATCACGAACTGCTCTTATTTAGACAACCATTTAGACAACCACTGACAGCAATTAATGAGTGTCTTGTCCTTGTATGGGACAAATCATTGGTGGGCATTCGCAACTCCCTATTCTTGAATCCAATCCAGAATCCATGGTTTCGCTTACAAACACTAACACTTCAGACTACTGAACGGGCAGAGAACTTCAAGTCTCACTTAAAGTGATTCACGATATCTCACAGCGTTCATTTATAGCCTATGGTGAATAACTACCTCACACTCAACATGACAGGACTCCACTGCTCACAGCTTCTCGTCCAGGAACTGGAGGAGTTGCATCTTGAACCTAGTCACTAGTGAAGGCATGATACATAGGTCGGTTGAACTCAGCAGAAACGAGTTTTTTTTTTTTTTGATTCGTTGTACACTCCAAATAGTTCATACAGACAAAAAATTAACAAGTCTCCTCTAACTATATACAAATAAAGAAGGTTATTGATATCAATCGACCAATTCAAGCAAACTTATCTCTGCTTTATAATTAAAAACTGTTAATCATTTGATTGATTGATTTTCAACCTAACCGTATATGAAGTATGATTTTAGTTTCATTTTGTAGTTTTGTAAACTTACATAATACTAACATGTGTACAAAAACATGGTCAGTAAAAAAAGGGACGTGTTCTCATTCATTGTAGAGGGTATTCGTGAATAGATCAGTACGTTTTCTGTTTCAAGAGGTTTTGTTTATTGATTTTTAAATCAATTTCTGTTGATTTTTGGTCTGTTTTTTTTTATCTTAGGCGACATATAAGTATTTATGACTTCAAGTTAACCGTTTCACTTTTAAGCTAGAATTCGCATTGTATTTCCAAGCAAAACTTTATTTTACGAACAACATTTATGTCTAGAAAATTGTATATTGATCAGTGCTCACTTGTAATTTTTTGTAGGTTTTGAAAAGTAAAACAAACATGTCTTCTGTGTTTTTGCATTGGTTGTTTGAAACTTCCCATTAATGTTTAAGATCAATCTTGCGTCTCATAATCCTTGTTGCCTAATTAATAACAATGTCAAGGCGATCCACACAGCACGCACGTATGCTAAAGTGACTGATCAGTTGCAGATGTAAATACCAATGGGAAGATTCCGAAAACTACAACAAATAAATTAGTCTTTCTCCTCATTTCACAAGCCAATGGTTGTTTGGACTTAGTAGCTAAGTGGATAACGCGATGACGTTTGAAGCAAACAGTAATGAATTTGAGTCTCATAGTGAGTATCAGTTAAGAGATACAGGTGTATCCATTTGGCAAGCCCTAAATAGGACTAAACGCATCAGTTAACAGATACAGGTGTATCCATTCGGCAAGGCCTAAATAGGACTATACGCAAGTCCTAAATTCCAATGCTAGCCATCATCTATCTCTGTTCATAATATGTGTTTTCTTTTTGAAAGTTAGTCATGCTGTGTCAGTAGCTAAATGACTAAAAATGGTCAGGATAAATGTGTGGTCGAAATCTGTTCATCAAAACTATATTCAACCAAATATAAGTTACTGTAATGTGTTTAAAATTTTTAACTAACAGTGATTTAGATCACAGAGTATTTTTCTTGAGTTGACCATACACGTCTTCGTTAGTCATTGAAAACGTCAAGGTAACTGATTATTTCAATTCACCTATTCTGATCCGTATAACCTGATAGTATAAACTGACTTCAAATGATAAGTATGACTGAAAATTGAATACTTTCATTTTTGTTTCATTTTTGTACATTATCTTAGTGATTAGAGAGATACTAGGTTAATTTTCAGTTTTGAAATAAAATATTTGTCGCTGGAAAATTCCTATCTATTTAAAACACAGTTATATGAACGAAGAATAGTCTGTCCAATAATATCTCTCCTGACTCTACAGTTGTATATTCAAATTATAAATCTAAACAGTGGTCAGGTTTAAGGCAAAACAAGCCGTTTAAAATTATACCGTGTGAAATTAGGATTGTTTGTAATCTAAAGATTGTTAATATTGGGATGACTAATATGCACTGTTTACTTGAATAAATTTATACGTAAAACGAGATTACGAGGTTAATAATCAGAATAGATATGCTTAACAAACGGTGAGAGATATAGCTGAAGAAGTAACAAATGCTTTGCATAATACTTTAGAAAAGAGAAAAGGTATCCAGAGAAGTTCATATCTAAGCATTTGGTCGTAGAAATAGAGCATAAAGAAAGTTCTAATTGCAACCAAAATGTCTCCATGTATGCGCTTACAACTTAAGAGGTGGTGCACTTTTCTGTATCTATCAATTCAGCTTCTCCTGTTTAGTAAGTTGCATTGGCAGATATTTTGTGAATTCATATTTTCGTACTGGCGAACACCTCCTAGTGTGGTTAAATGAAGGTTTAGTTAAATCTGTTAACAGTTCGATTCTAACTCATTTAGACCAGTCAGTATGGAGCAGCCGTTTAGAATAATATATCATGTTAACAACAATCTGCCTAAATCAGTCAGATTAAGAATCCTTCACACGGCCGAAGCAATAATTATTTGGCTCGAAAAGCTGGAGCTTTTAGTTTAGAGGAAATACGTTGAACCACTCAATTTACCTTGGCTTACTTCCGACTTAAGTAGTTAATAACCATTTGATTGATAATAATCTAATCGGTGTTCATAAAACATTCCTCTGTGCACTTTCGTAGTTTAAACTTTTTCACACATGTTACTATTATAACTGCTACAATGTTTACAAACATATATTAAGAAATTTGTTCAGTGCCCACCACCTCTTACCTAATTCGTACCTCAATCATTTCATCCAACATACTAAGTGATTCCTGATTTGTAATTAAATTATTTTCAATAAGGTTTATGGAGGTTAGTGTTTTTACACATTTGCAATCATCGATCAATAATCGTTAGACCTCCATTGGAAACCTGGAAACACTAGATGGCCTTTTCGTCCTGGCATGGGACTCGTCAGCAGTACGCATCTACGACTCCTGCTACTAGCAGGATTCGAACCCGTGACTTTGGGTCTTGCGCACGAACGCTTAACCTCTGGATCACTGAGTCAACATCCAGCGGTGTTAATGTCTAACTCTGATTGAACTAGGGATTTTGTACGACCTCACCCAATGGTCTTTGGTAGTTACTGCCTACACCCGACAGAGTTGAACTCCAATGGTCACGTCTGCTCACTAGAACTCCAAGAATTTCTAGTCACTAGTGAGCACATTTTATGATATTTTCAATTTGAGTTATGGAGATGAGTGTTTTTACCCACGTAAAATCGTCAATCAATCATTTTTAGACAACCATCAGAAACCTGGAAACACTGGGCGGCCCTTTCGTCCAGGGATGGGACTCATCAGCAGTGCGAATTATTATTTCTCTCACTCCACGACCACTAATCTCATGATTTCATATTACGTATAAACTTATTCAAATAAACAGTGCATGTCAGTCATCCGAGCATTAACAATTTTTATATGACCATCAATTCTGACTTTACACGCTATAGTTTGAGACGGAGTATTTTACCGCGGACCTGGCGACATTTTAGATAATTAATTTGCATATGTAACTGTAGCATCTAGATAGAATTTATTGGACAGAATATTCTTCGATCATATATCTTTGTTTTAATGTATATATATATATATATATATATATACATATATATGTATTTAACCAATATTATGTATGTTTACACAAGGTCGTACTATATTTCAGGTGACTTTGTTTTACTTTCGAAATTCGTAACATCCTTATAGTAGTTTTTAGGTCAATCATAATAACTAATAAATTGTAATTATAAGGTAAGAGATATTGGATTGTGTAACTAGAATGATATATTATGTCGAGTGTTCATGTAAACAACTCGTGATGAATGTATAGGGCGCCTCCTTAATTTCTAGGTTGATTTTCATTACAAAATGAAATAGTGTATCTGTTTTTCTTTGTATAAGTGAAATACGG